TTCGGAACAGCCCTTGTACTTGGTTCAGGGCATGTTAGGTGACGTGAATGGGGCTAATTATGATAGAATGTAGGGGTCAGATCGGGATCGGGTTTATCAATATGGCGTGATTCTTATTAATATAATAATTGTCGCGGATGATGGTGAAATTGGATGATCGTGAAATCTGGGGGCCTTAATTTAAAAATATAAACCCTACTTAGCGATGGGAATTTCTAATTGTTAATTACGAATTGTTAACGATAAAAAATTAAAAATGAATTAATAATTTAACAATAATTTCTAAGTAATTTATTAATTTTTTCGAGTAGAATATCGGCTTCCACAAATGCTTTAGCTAATGCTAAATTGATATCTTGCCTTTCTACTATATTCGGCTCATTTGATAATAATCTCATATTTTTTCTATTTTTATGAGTTGTGGAATTAAGATGATTATTAATTATAGATTTTTTGGTGTGATTGACAATATGTCTACAAGCGATACAAAACATTTGACTGTTTGATTCATAAAAGTCATCTATATAATTATTGGAATTAATATGTTCTAAAGCTATAATCTTCACTTTTTCCATAGTTAAAATTGGAACAGTAAAATTATAACGTTAAAAAATAATTTTATTAAATATTTATTTAATAATGACATAACAATTACAATTATAACATATAATACTGTAATACAAATAGTAATTGTGATAATTATGTAGTAATTGTGATTATAACAATTATATTGCATATGCTTTTATTATTTGTCTAAAAAATGCTCATATAAATACCATACAAATCATGTGTATCAGATAAAAATCAACCGCATTTTATACACCTATTATGTGATCACATATGTCCGGTATCTCTACCTGGTACTGTCTATATTAATTAATATTTCTAAATTAAACACTTTTCAAATTAATTTTTGCTCTATTTAATTACATCTTTTTATTTCTCTTCTAAAATACAAAGTTTACATAAGTAAATCAGAAGTTCTTACTCTGTTATACATAAAATTTTTTCCGTCGATGTTTACATAGTACTTAAATTTAATACTAGGTAATATTATATAGCTATAAAATTTCACAAATTACTGAAAGCTTATTACTTTTAAAAGTTTGAAAGGTTAGTCTAAATAAAGATAGCAAAAAAAACATTTTCATTAGCTTAAAACATGTAATTATAAACAACCAAATTTCAAATTTCATAATTTGTATACATAGTGAACATGATTTATAATGGGTAATAAAAGAAGTAATTGTACTAAATAAATGATCATCTTAGTAAAGTCTTGTAGCAAAAAACTTTATTTCATGTTTTTTATATTTGTATTTCAATTTAAAAACCTAAATTTTATAACTTCAAATTAATTTAGGTGACATAATTGTCTGTATCACCAGTTCATTTTTATATTTTATACTACTTCTACAAACAATTCATAACATAATTGTTAAACTTTGTAAAAACAATTATCTAAATTTAAGAAAATTCATAATTCAGTTGCTGGTATAATGAATAAATGGAATTGAATTTAACATTGTTAATCAGCATAATGCAAAAACAAATTATTATTGTTAAGTTAAATTTTATATACTTTATAATCTATATTGGAAATTCTTTATAGTCACTTACTATACAAATCTTTTTTTTTTTATTAAAATAAATATGATACGTACTCTCCTGTAAAAATTATATTACAATATACAATATATTTCAGCCTTATTTATTTTTTAGGTGATAAAGTAGTCTGTGCAAATCAAATACATGAGCATTATCTTCCAGAAATTTTTCAAAGTGAAGTAGATGAATTAAAAAATAGTTTAATTAGCTAATTTATTTCAATTATGATTGATGAGACTACTGATACAGTGTTGTAAATATTTTATTTAGTTTTCAAGATCAAACTAAGTTGGTGAAAACAGATTATTTAGATAGTGTTAACCATTCCACAATTTTACAATTAATTCTATCAACTTTAACTTTTTATAATATTCTCTTTTCTAAAGTTATTCTGTTTATTAGTGACAATGCCGCATATATGAAAAAAGCTTATTCAGACATGTTAGCTAACTTAATACCTCAATTTAAACATAATTGTTGTTTTGCCTATATTTTGAGTTTAGTTGGGGATTGCTGGATCAATTTTGATAATTTTAAACTTATTGCACGTGTAACTTCTAATATAAAAGATGCCTTTTCTTATTCATCCATCCATAAAAGAAGATAGTTAAAATTTCTTTCTTCAAATATTGCTTTGTCAAATTCTCTTGATTCATTATTTTTAGAATCTTCTGAAATTAATTTACAATTACCTTCTTTATTCGTAAAGACTTATTGGAATAGCTGGTTTAATTTTGTGATTTGGATAAAACCATACTTTTCATATTTGATTCAATTTTTTATTACAGAAAATACACTTGGTAATCCTTCAAAATCGGTTAAAGAATTAGTTAAAATTTTTTCAAATTATGAAAATATTTCAATAATTGAAATGATTATTGAGTTTATTGTTTTTAAATACTCAGCAGTAAGAATTATTATAAAAATATACTATAACAATAATAATTACTAAATAGACTATTATTATTTATTAGACTAATTCAAGATTTGGAATTTTTTAAGATACACAATAAACCTGTGGCACCTTACATTTTTTCATGAATTAATCATACTCGTGCACTGTTACAAGCAGGGATTGACAATCCTCCGCTCAATGCTGATATGTTAAACAAAATTCAAGAAAAAAACTTAAATTTAATATTTTTTAAGTTGATTTTTTCACAAGCTTTTTGACTATCTTTTGATAAGTTTAAAAAGCATGTTGATAACCATTCAGCATTGTCCCTTTTTAAAGCTGTACAATGCTTCAATCCTAAATATATTCGCTACTCATTATCAAGACAAAATATTGAACATTATACTGTAATAGAGGATTTTAAGATTTTAACTGATAACTTGTTAACTGAATGGAATATTTATTGTAAATTAGACGAAGACTTAGATGAAAATTTAAACTTAGATCGCTATTGGAAAGAGAAGTTTAATGAATTGCCTTCTCTTTCAAAAATTGCGCTATCTTACATATGGTTACCTGTTTCTGGTGTCGATGTAGAAAGGAGTTTCAGTAATTATAAAAATATTCTAAGCAATAGATGAAAATTAATTGATAAATCATTTTTTTTTCTTTTACTACATATGTAGTTTTTTTTAATAAACTAAATTCATAATTATCATATC